CTTACTCGCTCTTGCAGTTAGCTTCTGCTGTGTCGTGACTCTTTAACGTGGCATTATTTAGCAACAAGGAGGCGATACGGAGAGAACTGATAGATGGAGGGGGAATTCAGTAAATTGAATTACGTGTTATTGACCTGAGAGGTTTAAGCCGCTCACAAGCGGCTGCTCAATAATGCAGAGAGTGATTATATTCTGGGGAGGTATTTTGAGTGAGATTTGAGATACACAACGGAGTTCAGCTCTCGCTTACAGGAGATTGAAACAGTTTTGATTCCATTAATTTCAAGTCGAGGGTTTCTGACCCGCAATGCTTGAAGCAATTGGGAAGACGAGCTCTCAATGAGTGTGTCAAGCAAGGAGCGCGTTGCTGTTGGGAAGGTACGTTAGCGTTCGCAGAAGTTGTTCTTTAATTGCTTGAGGTTAATTATTCCCAGCAGAAGTGATGCTCTGTGGGGGATTTTGGCAACGTGAGGGTTGTTATAGGGTAGCAGCGGTTTTCCCAGAAATGTAGGCTCCGCGTTGCTGTCTTCCAAAGACTCTCGGTGCTGCTGAGACAGAATATTTTCCCCCGAAAAAGTGAACGAGACAAGTAAGAGAGTTGGTTGTGCTTGCGGAGGTGGTTGAGAGATGCAGTGAGGGGCGCAGGGGGGTATGACTGGCAGAGGAGGAGGAAGAAAATAAATGTTGGTCCTTTGATAACCAAAAGTGTCCACATCATAAGACAGGGACCTCAGTTTCAATTTTTAATCGAATAATTTTGAGGAGTTACATTGTAACACATACCGTGTTTTACATTTCTCTCTATTGGAAGTCTGATCTTGATGGACATTTTAAAGGTTTTTCTATCTAAAATCTTCAAAAAAAGCAAAAATTTTTTTTAAAGTCACCTCTGCTTTACTTTATTATGCTTGAAAACAAAATATTTGCTTATTAGTCAAAGTTGTGTATTTCAGTGGTTCTGTACTATATTTGAGTCACTATGCGATCATGAAAAAATTGATGTTTGTACATGGATGCCTAGAAATGTCACCTGGACTGTTGGATGCAGGGTCACTCATGAACTTACTAAGCTCCGTTTTTAAAA